CCGCTCTATTTTCTTTAGTAAGAGTAGGATCGGCTGGGCTATTTCGGCCAGGCGAGGGAGGAACCGGGAGAGCGAGGTGAGTTGGCCTGCTAGCTTTTGAACTTATTTCAGAGTACCGGGGCTTTTCATATCCAATATCGCTTGGCACTTGTCGGGGTTTGCCTCAATGCTTCGGTTAGACAACATGAACCCCAAAAACTTCCCGCCTGAAACCCCAAACACGCATTTTTCGGGGTTCAACCTCATCTGATGTTGTAGAAGCGCTTGGAATACCTCGGCCAAATCATGCACATGAGCGGAGATGTCGCTCGACTTTGCGACCATATCGCCTACATATACTTCCATGCTTCGGCCAATTTGGTCGTGAAAAATCTTATTCATCAAGCGCTGATACGTGGCCCCGACGTTCTTCAACTCGATCGGCATCACTCGGTAACAGTAGTTGGCCGTCTCAGTAATGAACGTCGTCTTCTCTTCATCTTGGGGGTGCATGCGGATCTGGTTGTACCCCGAATATGCATCGAGGAAGGACAGGAATTTGTGACTGGATGCTCCATCAACGAGTCGGTCAATATTCGGCAATGGGTAGGAGTCTTTAGGGCAGGCTTTGTTTAAGTTGGTGTAATTAGTACACATACGCCACTTCCCATTCGGCTTCCAAACCATGACAACATTAGCCAGGCATGTTGTATAGTGTACTTCTCGGATGAAACGAGCATCTAGCAACTTGGATACTTCCACCTCGATCGCTGCCTTCCTCTCTTCTCCGGCCTTCCGACGCCGATGGGCGATCGGCTTTGCCTCTTTACTGATCGAGAGCTTGTGGCAAAGGAAATCTGGGTCGATGCCAGGCATGTCAGAGGGATGCCATGCAAACAAATCTCTATTGTCAAGAACTACCTATTCGATAGCTGACTTTTCTCATTTGGAGAGGACGGTTCCTAGGTAAATAAGCTGGGAGTCCGAGACTCTTACCCAGAGAGGCTGCTTGTCTTCGATGCGTTCAACTCTCTCGTCCTGGTCAATTCGGGGGTCAAGGTCAATGGCCGGCTGTTGTGACACCGAATGGATGCGTCTCGGCTCCTTGGTGATTTCTCTATTCATTTTCGATAACCGCAAGCTAGCGAAGTAACACTCGCATGCAGTTTTCTGGTCGGCATGGATGGTGATCACTCGTCCCGAATCGGATGGGAACTTCATGGCTAGATGAGGAGTGGATACGACTGCTCCGAGCTAATTCAAGGATGGTCGGCCGAGCAAAATGTTATAAGATGTGTTGGTGTGAACTACCACATACTTAACCAAAATGTCTCGGTATTCTGCTCCTTCAAACCCAAATCGAGTTGACGGCTTGATATATCCTTTTGTCTTGACCTGTTCGCCCGAGAACCCAACCAAAGGTTCATCATAAGGAATTAGCTTAGATTCCGGAATGCCCAACTGCTTGAACGTGTTCCAATAGAAGATGTCGGCTGAACTCCCCTGATCAACCAAAGTCTTACGCACAATACAATTGTGAATTTCGACGCTGATTACCATCGGATCATCTTGGTCTGGGTCGATATCTTTGAAATCCGCCTCAGTGAAGGTTATGCTAGGCAAACGGCGACAAACTTTCTCCACTGCATGCACGTGCCGAACGGCTCGCAAGTGCCTCCGTTGCACCGACGCGAAGGAGTCGCCACCACCTCTTGGATTCCTTGGCCTTGGCCATAGTCTATCAGTATGACACGGTGTCCAAGTCTTGAATGTCCCCAGAGGAAAGAGCTAGCTTAAATTTTTTAGAGAAATTGCCTCGGCCCTTACCATGCCGGCCTTTGGTGCGATTGTTCGAATCGGCCGACGTAGCCGAAGAGTTAATTGGTATAGTAGCTTTCTTACTTGTTTAAATTCTTATGTTATCATTGATTTTGACTAATGATGTGCAAGGATCATGGCGAACTTCGGAGATGACGATTTGGACATCCGCCATCTGATCGGAACGAGGACCCCGGCTGAAGGATGTGTGGGTGGAAACCAGTCGGCTCTCCAAGGTGGTGGGGTGGGGTCGACAGCTAAACCAAGGAAGGGTGGCAAGGGTCCATCCCAGCCCCAAGGCGAAAAAAGAAGGCCCGAAGAAGTGAGGGCCGAAGAAGAGAGCCGTCGGGCCAAACAACAATGGTTGGCCAATCCGACCATTCCATAAGGCTTGGTTGGACCAAGTTTTTTGGCCAGTAACATCAATGCTCAGGACTTCTTGAGCCAGGATCTGACCTCCAAGGCTGGTCAAGGAGTTTTGAGCCGCATGAGTTTGGCTCAGAAATGGAACTTCTTCTGTGAGTTCCAAGTTCGGGCAGTGGCTCTGGCTCAAAGCATCGTGATGGAGCTGAATGGCGAGGCGGACGGGCTTCATCGGCATTAGGCTGGGTTTGCCCAAGCGGCTCGTCAGGCATGCTTCTTTGGCCACTTCCCTCCCAAATTTCAACTTGATATGACAAAGGACTTCCTCCAAGGTAAGTTGGTGGACTTGACTTCCATCCCTCCAGACCAACAAGCCGACGAGGAAGCTCCGGCACGGCCGACGTGGCCGAATGAGAAGGAGATGGTGTACGAGGAAGGTGCACCTGAAGATGGTCCGATTCAGGGGGAGCCGGAGGTGGCGTCTTAAGCTGGTCTTTAATTTCTTTAATTTTTGTAATGATGGGCCACTAGTGCCCTTTTAATGTACTCTTTTGGGCCGATAGTGCCCTATGAATGAATTTGAATTTTCCTTGCTATCGTATATTGATGTATAATGATATTACTTTTTTCGAGATGGAAAACTCGTGAAAATTAATGCAAGCCGTATCCTTAGCCGAGGGAGATCTCGGGAGGGAAGACGTAAAAATTTAATATAAGCCGCATCCTTGGCCGAGAGAGATCTCGGGAGGGAAGACTTGTAAAAAATTAATGTAAGCCACATCCTTGGCCGAGAGGAATCTCGGGAGGGAAGACTTGTAAAAAATTAATGTAAGTCACATCCTTGGCCGAGAGGAATCTCGGGAGGGAAGACTTATAAAAAAATTAATGTAAGCCACATCCTTGGCCGAGAGGAATCTCGGGAGGGAAGACTTGTAAAAAATTAATGTAAGTCACATCCTTGGCCGAGAGGAATCTCGGGAGGGAAGACTTGTGAGAACTTGAAAACTAGAAAGCTGCGAGAATCTTGGGTATTTGAAATGTATTTTCATTATTGAATTGATGCCTCGTTAAAAACCTTGCCGACCAAAAACCTCTTCACAATTTTATAAGAGGAAAAAAGATCGGTTCAAGGAAAAGAGTGCACCATTTTACACAGACTTGAAATGTAAATACAACATGATCTTAATTCAACTGTAGTATGTCTTCAGATGGGTGGAGTTCCAAGTTCTCGGAATGACCTTGCCGGACAGTTCCTCTAACTTGTAAGGTCCATTATGGAGAGCATGCCGTACCTGGAATGGGCCGTCCCAGTTGGCCGAGATCTTTCCTTTGGAGGAGTTGCATCTTGCTGACCCGGTTGCTCTCCAAACGAGATCACCTTCATGAAACGTTCTTGGCTTTAAGTTGGAATTAAAGCGTCGGCTCATCCGTTGCTTACACGCTTCGTCGACAACCTGTGTCTTTTCACGCACTTTGTCTAGAACATCAAGGTCGACTCGGAGTGAATCGTCATTAGACTCTTCATGGAAATGTTGCCGCTGGAATGATGGTTCTCCTACCTCGACCGGTATCATCGCATCCACGTCGTACGTTAGGCAAAAGGGCGTCTCCTTGGTGGTTGATTGTGGTGTGCATCGGTATGCCCACAGGACTTCTAGTAATTCCTCGGCCCATGCTCCTTTTGCCGAGCCTAGTCTCTTTTTCAGTTCTGTTAGTATGACCTTGTTGGCTGCTTCGGCTTGCCCGTTTAACTAAGGATGTTCAACTGACGTGAACCGATGTCGAATGCTAAGGTTTTCAAGGAAAAAGTTGAACTTTTTGTCTGTGACCTAAAGGCCGTTGTCCGAGATGATGGCGTATGGGATGCCGAAACGGATAATGATGTTCTTCCAAACGAACTTCTGGAAGTTGGCGGCAGAGATGCAGGTGAGAAATTCGGCCTCTATCCACTTTGTGAAGTAATCCACCGCGACGAGGAGAAACTTGACCTGCCCCTTTGCCATAGGGAACGGTCCAAGTACGTCGATGCCCCACAAAGCAAAAGGCCATGGGGAGATGATGCTGTGTAATTCCGCGGCCGAGGCGTGGATGAGGTTCTCGTGCTTTTGGCATTGTATGCAGTTTTTTGACGAACTCTACGCAATCTCCCTTCAGAGTCGGCCAATAATAACCGGCTCGCAAGACTTCGGCCGCCATGGTTCGCTCGCTCGAGTGAGAGCCGCAGATACCTTCATAAATTTCTCGCAGGACATAATCAGCTTGGTGATTGTCAATACATTTGAGCAGCGGGGCAGAAAATCCTCGCCGGTAGAGTCCGCCGGCCACCACAAAATACCGAGTCGCTTGCGTTCGTAATTTCTTTGCTTCCATTGGGTCGGCCAGAAGTTCACCATTAACGATATACTTCTGAATGGGAGTTATCCATGAGGGTGCATCTTCATTTATCGCCATGCATTCGGCTGTCACACTCGGGGTGGGAATATCCATATGAATAGTGGACCACAACTGCCTTGGCTTTTGGCTGCTAGCGAGCCGAGCTAGTTGGTCAGCCTGTTCGTTGTTGTTGCGCAGGATATGTCGTATCTGAACTTCATTGATGTTATCCTTTAGCTGCTGGAATAGGTGATAGTATCGCAACAAGTGTGAATCTTTGACTTGGAAATTGTCGTTGACCTGTTCGGCCATAATTTTGGAGTCGGTCTAGCATATGATTTTCTTAACGCCTATCTCATTTGCTAACCTCATACCAGCTATCAAGGTCTCATATTCTACTTGGTTGTTTGACGCACGAAAGCCGAACCGAAGGGATTGTTCGACTGTGATACCCGAGAGGCTAGCAAGGATTACTCCGGCGCCGCTACCTTGGGCATTGGAAGACCCATCGACGTGCATGGTCCACGGTTCGTCTTCAAAACATCCCAGAGGGGTGAGCTCATTGACAAAGTCGGCCAAGTGCTGCGACTTGATGGGACCTCTTGGCTCGAAAGCCACGTCAAACTCTAAGAGTTCTACCGACCATCCCATCATTCGGCCAGCAATCTCTAGCTTCTAGAGGACCTTTGCGATTGGGCAATCAGTTCAGACAACTACCCTGTGACTCTGAAAATATTGCCTCAACCGGTGTGCGGTGTAGATGAGGCTCAAAGCCACTTTTTCCAACAACTGGTAGCGCCTCTCGGCGTCTTGCAACGTGCGACTGATAAAGTATACAGGTTATTGGTTACCTTGGTTTTCTTGCACCAGAACGACACTTACAGAATAGCTTGATACGGTCAGGTAAACAATCATGTCGAGGTTGCCAACCAGTTTAGAGAGTATAGGAGGCGCGCTAAGACGTTCCTTGAACTGCTAGAATAATTCCTCGCACTCTAGGGTCTAGCTGATCCGCTCTATTTTATGTAGTAAGAGTAGGATCGGCTGGGCTATTTCGGCCAGGCGAGGGAGGAACCGGGAGAGCGAGGTGAGTTGGCCTGCTAGCTTTTGAACTTATTTCAGAGTACCGGGGCTTTTCATATCCAATATCGCTTGGCACTTGTCGGGGTTTGCCTCAATGCTTCGGTTAGACAACATGAACCCCAAAAACTTCCCGCCTGAAACCCCAAACACGCATTTTTCGGGGTTCAACCTCATCTGATGTTGTAGAAGCGCTTGGAATACCTCGGCCAAATCATGCACATGAGCGGAGATGTCGCTCGACTTTGCGACCATATCGCCTACATATACTTCCATGCTTCGGCCAATTTGGTCGTGAAAAATCTTATTCATCAAGCGCTGATACGTGGCCCCGACGTTCTTCAACTCGATCGGCATCACTCGGTAACAGTAGTTGGCCGTCTCAGTAATGAACGTCGTCTTCTCTTCATCTTGGGGGTGCATGCGGATCTGGTTGTACCCCGAATATGCATCGAGGAAGGACAGGAATTTGTGACTGGATGCTCCATCAACGAGTCGGTCAATATTCGGCAATGGGTAGGAGTCTTTAGGGCAGGCTTTGTTTAAGTTGGTGTAATTAGTACACATACGCCACTTCCCATTCGGCTTCCAAACCATGACAACATTAGCCAGGCATGTTGTATAGTGTACTTCTCGGATGAAACGAGCATCTAGCAACTTGGATACTTCCACCTCGATCGCTGCCTTCCTCTCTTCTCCGGCCTTCCGACGCCGATGGGCGATCGGCTTTGCCTCTTTACTGATCGAGAGCTTGTGGCAAAGGAAATCTGGGTCGATGCCAGGCATGTCAGAGGGATGCCATGCAAACAAATCTCTATTGTCAAGAACTACCTATTCGATAGCTGACTTTTCTCATTTGGAGAGGACGGTTCCTAGGTAAATAAGCTGGGAGTCCGAGACTCTTACCCAGAGAGGCTGCTTGTCTTCGATGCGTTCAACTCTCTCGTCCTGGTCAATTCGGGGGTCAAGGTCAATGGCCGGCTGTTGTGACACCGAATGGATGCGTCTCGGCTCCTTGGTGATTTCTCTATTCATTTTCGATAACCGCAAGCTAGCGAAGTAACACTCGCATGCAGTTTTCTGGTCGGCATGGATGGTGATCACTCGTCCCGAATCGGATGGGAACTTCATGGCTAGATGAGGAGTGGATACGACTGCTCCGAGCTAATTCAAGGATGGTCGGCCGAGCAAAATGTTATAAGATGTGTTGGTGTGAACTACCACATACTTAACCAAAATGTCTCGGTATTCTGCTCCTTCAAACCCAAATCGAGTTGACGGCTTGATATATCCTTTTGTCTTGACCTGTTCGCCCGAGAACCCAACCAAAGGTTCATCATAAGGAATTAGCTTAGATTCCGGAATGCCCAACTGCTTGAACGTGTTCCAATAGAAGATGTCGGCTGAACTCCCCTGATCAACCAAAGTCTTACGCACAATACAATTGTGAATTTCGACGCTGATTACCATCGGATCATCTTGGTCTGGGTCGATATCTTTGAAATCCGCCTCAGTGAAGGTTATGCTAGGCAAACGGCGACAAACTTTCTCCACTGCATGCACGTGCCGAACGGCTCGCAAGTGCCTCCGTTGCACCGACGCGAAGGAGTCGCCACCTGCGAATCCACCAGCTATGGTGTTGATGACTCACCAGGGTTGTGTTGAAGGTTCCTCCTCTCTTCAATCTCTTGACCGACTGCGCTCTCGGTACGAGCGTTTTTCTGTCCTCCTTTGTTCATGTTGATCATGTCGGTGAGACCGATCGGTGTAGCGGCATGAACTCTATCGGTCCACAAAGCCTTGTAGCTGCCCCTACTTGATTAAATCTTTAATTTTATCCTTCAGGGCCGAGCATTTTTCTGTTGAATGTCCTCGATTGCGGTGGTACCTGCAAGATTTGGTCGTATCGGCCTTGGGAGGGGTCGAAGCTCTATTCGGGATGGCTAGCACCTCCGAAGCAAGTGCTTGCTCTAGTATGGCCGAGCGGCTGGTATTGAGCGGTGTATACTGCGAATATCTTGGCTCGCGAGGAGTTCTTTCTGACGGCTCCAAAAATTGCTCTGAGCCGACTTTTTGGGTTTGGCCGCTACCTCTGCCCTGGCTTGGTTGCGGGACTTAGCTAATTCTTCCATTTGCATGTATTTGTCGGGTCGTCATCGCAGGTCATCCATGTCGGTGGGTGGCTTCTTGCAAATGCTGTTGGCAAAGGGCCCTGGTTTCAATGCGATGGTGAGGTGGTGCAGAGCTACCGCAGGGTTCAAGTCCTGGATTTCGAGCGCCACTTTGTTGAATCGGGTCATGAACACCCGAAGGGATTCTTTTTTCTCCTACCAAATGCTAACTAACGCCAGAAAGGTCAACTGGTGGGGTCGGCTTGTGGCAAATTGAATGGTGAAGTGAGAAGCTAGCATATTGAACGAGTCGATTGAATTAGCCGGAAGTCGAGTGAACCAGCTTAGTGCACGTCCTTTCAACGATGTTGGGAAGATTCGGCACAAGGCCGCATCATCAGTGGTGCTCAGAGTGACTTGGGTCAAGAACACATCCACATGCTCGTCCCGATTGGTCGTACCGTCGTACTTGTAGAGTGGCAGGGACTTCCAATGATCGACAAGTGACGACTGCATGATGTTCGGGGTGAAAGGGTGTTGGTGCGCTCTGACTGGGACGGCGTGCACCGGTCGGCCATCCATTGGGGCTGCCGAAGTGTGGACGCCTGGGGTAGCAGCAGAAGTGTAGGGGATGGAAGTGTGATGTTGATGGAACTACTTGGAGGAGATTGATGTTCCTTCAAGTTTTTCCATGCTTAGGACCGTGAACTCTTGAGGTTGACCTTAGATGAAGCTTGAAACTCCATGAAAATAAGATTCCATGGAGGAGAAGCCTTGAAAGGATTCAGTTACTCCTAGCTTGTTGTAGAAGCTTGAGGAACCAAG